TTAGAATTGTAATTCAAGATTGGAGTCTTTAATCCAGGAGCGGTGGGAAGTTGTACAACATCAAAATCGTCTCCATTTGACGTCTCCTCATTAACATTTTCCGCAACCTCAAGAGCTTTTCTTTTATAAAATCTTTTCATGACTAACTGTAATAAATAGGAATTGGAATATAAATAAACAAAGTAAAATATGGAATTGTGATGTGGCTACTAATAGTAAAACAAGTTATAGTCGAAGGATACTTGTTCCAACAGGAATCACAATAACCACTTACCTATTTCTCTTTCAAATTCCCAATATCCAAAGACCAAACCTCCTTAACAAGTTGATTTGAAACTCAAGTCCATGGCACTGGGTGCTCCGTTGTTCCGTTATCCGTCTTTTTCCTTCACATAAAAACCTCTGAATAATTATTCTAGAAAGGCAACCACTTCCCTCGAAATTTGAAAAAGAGACAAAATTTGGAATGCTCTAGTCTCCAAATCTACAACAGAAATGCACCAGTTTCAATCTCCAACCTTGCAAGAAAAATGCCCTTTTTTCACCCATCCAACCTCTTCATGACTTTCGGAAACATAGGTATCCAAAAATCTACTCTAATCAAATCAATCCCAAGAAAATTTTAATTACTTCAACAGACATCGCTCGATTTCACAATTCAAATCAGCTGTAAAGAAACACCTTGTGCTCTACCAAATTCACTCCAACCAAAGAAGACACCTTGTTCTCTTGCACATTCACTCCAAACCTCTTTGTTTGGACAGGATAAAATCCATATTGAAATGACTATAACTAGTTTTAACTATAACCAGATGAATACTAATAGAAAACTCACCTACCGACTACCGAACGCTACTGGTCTTGGTTCTATGGTTCAGACTTCACTCTTCAGACCACCAATCCACCATGAGCATCAACATTCAAGTAACTACAAAGTCCCGGTGATGCTGAAACTGTGAAGCAGTAATTCATATAGTTGAAGATAAATTAGGGAGATACAATCAAACGACGGGGTAAAAGAAGAAATTACAAAAAATTGTCCGATAATTACCTCCTTTAATTGATGCCCAAGGCTTCACTTCTTCAATTTCATCGATTTCATGAATTTGGGACCTTGTTGTTTTGGTGGAAATTGAGGATTTCAATTCAATTTTTTTTAATTCTCTGTTGGGAGTCCGGAGTCGAGACGTGTGTGGATGCTTTCCAATTGGGATTCTTGGTATTGCAATGTATTGCAGGGGCTTCTATCATATAGTTTGGGCCAAATAATTGACCTACTTTTTTTTTAGCCACATTATCGGGTTACTGAAAAAATTGGGGCGGCCGGGTCTGCCACTGTCCATAATTAATGACTCCCAAACATAGGAGAAAGAACTGTAGAAGAATCCGTCTTAAGTTTGTTATTAGAAAATCAACTATGACAATCAAGAGAAGAAAAAAAATTTGAAGTACAAGATTTTGAAGTGAGGTATGCTCTGCAAATCTCCTCAAGGCAAATTTCGACTTTTACACTTGTTGCTAACATAAATGAATGGAAGCATGCCTCCCAAGATACAAGCGTTACTTCTAAAATTAAAATACCACAATAATAATCTTATTAGGTGAACCACAACTTGATTGTACTCTTCTTGACCGAAAGATATTGAACACTAAAAGCTCTTAAAATCTTGAAAACAAATTGCCGAATTTAAAACTCAAAAATTAACATGAAAATTATTTTGATAGAGTTTTTAGAGAGAATGAATAGGAAATTAATATAATTGAATTGATTTGGGATGAAATAATTTGAATGAAATGAGTTCAATTTATGAATTCCAATGTATCTATTCAGAATTGATTGTGTGTATTTATAATGGGTTCACCTTTTTGTGGTCTTATCGCATTTAAAGAGACACCTAGAAGTTATTTGTGAATTCCGTACTCTTAAAGAGTTATCGCCCTGGCATGTTCCAATTTTAAAAATGTGTTTAGAGTTGGAACTTAGAAGACAATATGACAGGTTGTTTGTAGACATATATGAAGAAAAGTCATATACACATAAGTTGGGATAATCTATGTAGGTCTTCCTCGTAAAAACAAACTGATGCTTGAACCCACGCACTAAATTACAGTCTCCAACTGATTATGCCTAATTAATGTGCTGAATTTACTAACATAGTAAAATATAGAAATATTATTGGAGAGAGATTACCAGTAGAGTATGAAAATATCATTTTTCTTTAGCTAACCCTTGACAAAAGTTTAAGTAGAAAAAAATTTCACAGAGAAAACATCAGTTTTCATCTTTCATAAATTGCAACCGAATTTAAAACTCAAAAATTAACTTGAAATTATTTTGATGGAATTTTTAGAGAGAATGAATAGGAAATTAATATAATTGAATTGATTGGGAATGAAATAATTTGAATGAAATGAGTTCAATTTATGGATTCCAATGTATCGATTCAGAATTGATTGTGTCTATCCATAATGGGTTCACCTTTTTGCACAAGTCATGGACGATTGGATCACACTATTTCAAGTTAGGACACTATCTGGTTGTCAATATTTCATCATATATGAAAGGATACACCTGTACTATAGATAATGAGTGGTCTTCTATATAAACTTATTGCATTTAAAGAGACACCTAGAAGTTATTTGTGAATTCCAAATTTAAAACATGTGTTTAGAGAACTTAGAAGACAATATGACAAGTTGTAGACATATATGAAGAAAAGTCATATGCACACAAGTTGGGATAATCTAAGTAGGTCGTCCTCGTAAAAACAAACTCATGCTTGAACCCACGCACTGAATTACAGTCTCCAACTGATTATGCGTAATTAATGTGTCGAATTTACTAACTTAGTAAAATATAGAAATATTATTGGAGAGAGATTACCAGTAGAGTATGAAAATATCATTTTTTCTTTAGCTAACCCTTAACAAAAGTTTAAGCAGAAAAAATTTTCACCAGTTTTCATCTTTCATAAATTGCATAAATTTAACTCATTTTATAGCCATTGATAAATTCCATCAACATATGTAAGAAGAAGAGAGATCATTATCAATCGATTGGATATTTCTACAAAATGTATGTGTGTTCAAATGTACGCGTAATCTATTAAACAATTCAACTTTTTTTGAGAGATATTTTCCCAGTCAACACCATTTTCCCTGGCTGTATTTTACCTGGACCACACAAACAGAAACAAATGAAAAATAAAAACGAAAAACTCCTTGTTCATGCTATGCATCTAATTGTCCAATGTCTTCAATATTCCATTATACTTTTCGTGCGGGAGACGTCGAGATTTTCCTATAAAAAGGATTTTCCAACTAAGTTTAATTCCACTCACTGCTAGAGACATGGCTACTAAGAATAGCAAGATCATGATTTTTGGTGCTACTGGTTATCTTGGTGTAAAAATGGTGAAAGCAAGCATTTCCATAGGCCATCCAACTTACGCTTATGTTCGTCCGATTAAATCGAACGGCGCCCATCCTTCCAAAATTGAGCTTCTCAATAATTTCAAGTCCTTGGGAGTAATCGTTTTCCAAGTATTAAGAGTTTATTTAGACAAGATCGACTATTTTTCAATAATATCAAATTTCAATTTTTTGCATGGTAACATCATTATTTCAATAGTATTATTTAATTAAATCTTTAAACAGGGAGAACTCGACGAGCACGAGAAACTCGTTAAGGTGTTGAAACAGGTAGATATTGTGATATCTACTCTTGCAGTCCCTCAACATCTTGAACAACTCAAGATAATAAGTGCCATGAAAGAAGCAGGCAATATTAAGGTTAACTGATTAATATTTCTAGTCTTTTTCATAACAAAATATTACGTTTTCGGCTTTTTTAAGGTTCATAATAAGGGATATTAATTAACTTAATTTACTGTTCTTGAACACTAGAGGTTTGTTCCTTCAGAATTTGGCAATGAAGTTGATAAGGTAAGGGGATTACCACCATTCCAAAAGCTGCTGGACAATAAGAAGAAGATAAGAAGGGCAACTGAGGCAGCTGGAATACCATTTACCTATGTGTCTGCAAATTCATTTGCTGCATACTTCGTTGATTACTTGCTCCATCCGTGTCAAAAGTCCGACCGTGTTACTATCTATGGAAGTGGTGAAACCAAAGGTAAAATTATACAAGGAACTATCTCGTTCAAACTCTTAAAACCCTCAAATTTATCAAATATTTATCAAACCTTCAAACTCCATTTATTAATATATTTGTTCCCCAGCTAGGATAGCACTTGTGTGGTTCGCGTTAAGATGGCCCTACTATCATCTATCTCAAATACTTCAAACCTAATTCTATCCATATAATTTTCCTAGATGCTTGTACAGAACTAATGTTATGTATTTGAAGGAAAGGCTCATATATTTCTAGTACAATTTGCTTTCATTCTATCCAAATAATTTTCCTACAATCAAATATGACAGTATGGACAGTTAAACATGACATTTTTATGGCATTCCGTGATACTGAAAAGTTTCTTTTAAGCAATGGAACCAATTTACTAAAAAACAAAAAGAAAGATACAAAGTGCTTAGGAGGAGGACAAAGGCGAAACCTCCAATTATCAATATATTTTTAGAATTAGGGTGTGATACGAATTTTATTTGGAAGATTAATTGAGAATTCTATTTGAATTCTAGTTGGGAATTCTAGTTGAAGTCTATTTTGGAATTCAATTTGGGAGTTCAATTGGAAGTTGATGAATTGTGTTGGATTTGAAGAAGACTTGAAGGAGTCCAAGTTGCAATAGGAGGGGAAGAAAACATACAAGGAGAACGAAATGGAGAACTGGCGCTCGCTATGCGCCTTGATCCCTCTCGAGTGTTCAGAATAGGAGTTTTAGCGATCGCTATCCGAGAGAAGGCCGCTCGAGTGCTAGTCTTATCCGTATTCAACAGTTATCTATTTTGGCCTGTTTTTTAGATCCTATTTTATTCAAAACACTCCATTATTTTATAGACTTGCTATAATTGAAATCCATCACATCTTAGGCTTTTCTATGCACTATAATTTGTAATTCTCCATTATTGATTTAACAAATTCTCATCTTCTACCCATTGATTTTTTCCACGTAAATCTTGTGTTCTTGTTTATCATATTATTCTCGTTCCTTTATTTAACTAACATATATTCTAGGATGGGGTTGAGATACAAAACCTCCAATTAAAGTACGACAAAACAAAAAAAGGAATATGAACCTAAACTTAATAGTGAGAAAATGTAAAACTCGAACACTTTGAGGCATCAATTCTAGTAACAAATAAACTTCTTGCTTTACAAGATTCTTTTTCTTCTTCTTCATTATTTATTTTAGATTACAAAGAGAATATAACTGTGCTTTAATGGAAATTTCTTTTGTACAGCGGTGTTGAACTACGAAGAAGACGTTGCAGCCTACACTGTGAAAGCAGCAACCGATCCAAGGCTTGCCAATCGAGTCATTATCTACAGACCCTCAAAAAATATTGTTTCTCAACTGGATTTGGTTTCTTCATGGGAGAAAAAGACTGGACGAACAATGGAAAGGATTCATGTTTCAGAGGAAGAACTCATTAAGCTCTCCGAAAGTAATAAAATTATAATTCACTTTATCAACCTATTTATTGGCTTAATCAAAATGCCTTTTTTTTTTTTTTTAAATCTTAAATGCTTATAATCAACGAATATTTTCCACCGCCTATTGTAGTGTGTTATGGCACCAGAGTGCTTAAGCATAAGCTAAGTATCGGTGCTTAGGAGATCGGTCCTATTTATGTATTTCTGCTAATATATTGGCCTTCATAAAGAAAACATAAAATGGTATAAATGTTATTAAAAATTAAAAACAAAATCCCTAAACTGGACAAAGTAAAAGGGGAATGATTTTCATGTTTTTGCTTACACACGATAATTTTCAAGACTACTTTTTGGATGGTCGGAAGATGTTGAAGACTAAATTTAAATAAATTAATGTGTCTCTAACAATTTAAATGAAATTTTATATGGGGTGGTTCCACAAGATATGGTTCTNCCCCCCCCCCCCCCCCCCGCCCTCTGGCTCATGTGTGTAATGCCATCAAATAAAACTTAATTCTTCTGCATACTGGGTTACTGCTAAATACTGATAATTATAATTTTAAAGCCATTTTAATATTTGCCTCATATATAGGAAGAACTCTTAACATGAATGGGAAACTTAACAAATTTCCCGTAGGATTTCCCATTTTATGGTTTTATTATTCCCGAAGGATCTTTAGGACTCACAGGGCATGCGCAAATTAAACTTCTATTGAGTTCAGTGTATCAACTGGAAAGGGAAATTTTTTAGGACCACAAATGACTAAATTTGTTTGCAGGGGACCTTGAGGCCAGCAATTCATTGTTTATGCGGAAATAGTTGATGTGTTTTGCTTAAAAACACATTAAAATCGACAAGAGAGTAGGGTCACTTGATCAAATAAATCGACTGTGGTTATTACTTTTGGCTCATTATTTTTTCTTTTCAAAATAGTGCATGTTCAAAATACTTAACCAAACTCTTATAGTATTCTTATTCAAAATCTCAAAGCCAACTTATTCAACAACAACAACAATCATGTCAAATTATATTAATAAGTGTGTGTACAAAGTAAGGGATTGGATTTTCGATCTTTAAGTCCAAAAGCTCGTGGTAGTTCCAAACATTGTGATAATCCTATGATATTCACACCCTGTTCATGTTCTAATGCTCACGGTGTTTGAATATTACTCCAACAATTACAAATTTCCACACCTCAAGAACTATTATATAAGAACGTGTATAGCAGACATAATTGGGTCATATTTATATTCTATGTAGGGAGACCCAATAGAATCCTATTGGGAATCTCTCAAAGCATATCTAATAATGCTCTTTATTTCAAGGAGAATATTTCTCAATTTAAAGGGAATTTCTAGATAATTTCCAAAAATAAAGAATAAGATTTTTTATAAAAGTTAAACAATACTCTTTATATTAGCTTTATTTTGCCTTTTTTTTTCAAAGAAAATGTTTTATAGGGAATTGATTTGCCTATAAATTGTTTTACTGGGAATTGTATCTAATTGTATTTGATTGGTATAATTTTTCATGGAAAATGTTGAAATTTTGGTCTCCGTTTGATTTCATTTTTTATGAAAAATTGTCCATTAAAGTGATAATATTTTCTATCATTGGGTTTATAACTTGTTCCAATTGCCAAAAAAAAAAAAAAAATTGAAAAAAATAACCATACCGTATATCATTCGTTTGACTTTGTTTTGCATGTAAATTGTCAATAAAAGTAAAAATTTTTTTCTGTTGTGTTTAGAATTTTTTCTAATTGCCAAAAAAAAAAAAAAAAAATACCCCCTGAAAAATATTTACCCACCAAAACGTCAAGAATTTATTTTCCTCAAAAATGTGGAAAATTTGGAAAATTGGAAAATATTTTCCTGAAATTTTTTTTCCTATCAAACATACAAAAGTTTTTCCATGGAAAATGTGTGCTATCAAACGGGGCATAATATATTGATTTGTGAATACTGATAAAGGCAGTGAGTTAGGGCCTGCCTAGAGGAAATTACAATCCACTTTTAAGCAAGATTCCAACCATTGAAGGGGCCTACCTGGTAGCTAAGTTTGACTAGCACTCACATGGTTTTTAGAAGATTGTGCACAACGGTTGGAATATCAATTTTAAGATGTGGAACAATTTCTTCCAGACAGGCCCTTAATTTTTTAGATCATTTAGTGCAAATCAAAATTTAGGTAGAATCCTAAATTATCGATTTTTGCACTTCTCATTTAATTTTGTAGATTTATAGCACTTTTTGGTTCCATTATTTTCAAAATACATTTTTCTCTATTTTATTTTCAACCACACATTTTTCAATAAAATAATATTATATGCAAATCCAAAACTTTTCCTTATTTTTTAACCACACATTCTCCATCAAAATACTATTTCCAAATACATTTTCATAAAAAATGGGGCTCAAATAGCCTCATTGTTTTTAGGATCATAACTAAGATCAATTTTAATTGTTTTTACTCGAATAGATGTTAGAAATAATAAAATCAATTGCCATAAAGATAGCTATCGTGAGGACGATAATCCGTACTCTTAGGTCCACATTACTAATTGTTAACTAACTCGTACACTTGCAATGAAACAACAATAAGTTCTAAGCTTGATAAGTGCGTTTTACAAGCTTATTTGTGAAACCCACAACAATACTCTTTATATTATCTTTATTTTACTTGTCAACAATCTCGTATGATTGCAACTTTCATTGAACGTTGATTTGCAATTTTAATAAGTTAAATACTTTGAAAATGGAAAAGATTTATTAGGCTAGGTCAAAGTGCGCAGTTTTACAAAATTGAGAGCTTGTTGCGTAATTCTATAATACGAACTCATACGAGAAAGTCGAACCTGAACAAGAGTGGCGTTGGAAATGGTACGCATATAAGAATTTATTATTTTTTGCTTAGTGTTTCATGATAAAATTGTTGACATATGGTTGATGTCTCGTTTTGATTATCACAAACAAATTGTTTTTGTCTTTAACAAACAAGTGTCTATAGTGATTATTGCATAGAGTCAATAACATGGTTCGAGGTCAAGTAATTTGCGCACGAAGATCGACATGGAAACAAATTCGCAAATCGAGGGTATAAAGAACAATATTGAAACCCGCAAAAAGTAGCCTAAAAAAGAATCGAGACAAAAGTTGATGAACGATCAAGCAATGCACGCCAAAATGTTCAAAACTTTGTACTTAGATGTTTTATATTCATGTAAAGGTAAAATGTTTCAATACTTTGCAAATGATCACTAAGAGCTCAAAGTAAATTTTTATGCATAAGAAATATTATTTCAAATCAAATGATTGCATAAAATCTTTATCGAGTCACTTACCTTGAAAAAAATACGTGAGAGAGTACTTTAAGAAAATATATCAAACAAAAAATCACACAAGAAAACGTCAGGGGGCTAGTTGATTACACGATCCGGAAGTCCTGACATCTTCAAACGGCTAGTTGATTACACGATCCGAACGTTCGGATGCCTTGTCCAGATGGACAAAGTTTTGGCCAGTTTGAGTGATATAAATACCCCACTCACTTTTCATTTGCTACAACCTTTTTTTGAGCATTAAAGTGAAGCTTTTATTGATCATAACTACCTTATTCTCTGTTATTAAGAAGATCAACTGTCATAAAATTCTTGAAGAACCTTTGACCATTAATTTTGTGAAAATCTTTGGTGTTTCAAGAAGTTTTTCATTTCAACACTGTGAGCTATATTCATTGCCATCTATTGAAGTGCTTGCCTCTTCTTTTCTGTTATTAACCTTGAATCTACCATTCGATAAGAAGAGAAGATTTCACTTGTAATTCATTTTGAATTGTGGGTCGTGTTGAAGTCTCGGAAAGCTCAACTTTGTAAAAGGATCGGTGCTCATTGGTTGTAAGTCACCGAAAATATTGTAAAGGGTTAGATAGCACCACAAGTCAATCAAGATAGTGAAAAAGGCCTTACTCGTGACAGAGAGCTTGGTAACGGGGGATGTAGATCATTGCGTTGGATCGAACCTCCATAACATATCGTTTGCATTCTCTATCACCTCTAGTTTGCCAATCTTGGGCTTTCAATTGGAATCAGAGCTCGTTACTCACCTCTTTAAGATTTTACAAACTTGGGTTATGGCTAACATCGGTTTTCAAAATCTCAAGGGGCATTCTACCAATCGACCTCCCTTTTTTGATGGCTCACATTACAATTATTGGAAAGTTAGAATGATTATTTATGTTCAATCTATTGATTATTATATTTGGAAAATTATTGAATATGGTCCTTATGTGCTTACAAAGACTATTAAAATTGATGGCAAACCAAATCAATGTATTCCCAAGTCAAGAGAAGAATACGATGAAGAAGATATGAGAAAATTGTCATTGAATGCTAAGGCCAAGAATTTGCTTTATTGTGCACTAGATGAAAATGAATTCAATAGAATTAACACATGTGATTTGGCTCATGAAATTTGGCATGTTCTAGAAGTCACTCATGTTNACTCGTTTCACCGACTTTGTTAATGACTTAAAGGTTTTGATCGAAAATATACTAACAGTGTGAGCAAAATATGTAGGTCACTTTCGGAGGAATGGAGTCACATACAGATGCTTATAGAAAACACAAAGGATGTGAATACATATCCTTTGGAAGAATTATATGGAACCTTGATGACCTATGAACTCAATAATGCCGAGATGAAGGAAAAGACAAAGAAGAGCAAAGAAAAATCAAAAGAAACTCTAAAGGACAAATTGCTCTAAAATCGACGATTGATGAGGAGACGTCAACATTTAATATGAGTGATGAAGAGCTCGATGATCTAGTACTTCTCGTCAAAAAATGGAGAGACTTTGGAAACAATAAAAAGTTTCAAAGAAAAAATGACAAAGGAGAAGAAAAGAGTAAGAACATTATTTGCTATAAATGTGACAAACCCGGTTACAAGAGAACCGAGTGCCCGAACAAAAGGAAAAGCTTCAAGAAAAATGCACTTCAAGCTACTTGGGATGATAGCGACAATGAATATCAAAATGAAAGCAATGATCATGAAATCGCTTACATATGGTCCTCGAAGATGAAGTAAGTGCAAAAGAAATTTTTTCTTAAGATGAACTACTTAATTCTTATGATATATTGCTTGAAAATTTTGAAAAACTTGTATTGAGTCATTCTATTCTTAAAAAGAAAAATTCTCTTTTGAAAGATGAATTGAAGAAAACTTTGGAAAAATCAAAAGATAATCTTGATTATGAATTATTGGTTAAGGAAAACACTTCTCTAAAAGGAAAGGTTGATGATTTAACAAAAATCATTTATGAATTCATCGATAGCAAGAAAAATTTTGATTTGATGCTCGGAAATAAAAAATTTGTGTTTGACAAAGGGGGAATCAGATTCAAACCCTTGATAAAACAAAAATCTCTTGAAAATATGTTTGCTAATGCTTCAAACACTGCTTGCACATTTTGCTAAGTATTAGTCAATTATGTGATAAAGGTTATAATATAAAATTCGATTATTTCAAATGCCTAATTAAGAATGTTACATCAAAAGAGGTAATTTTCAAAGGAAATCGAAATAAAGATGTTTATATCATAAATATTGAACATGAAAATAACGAACATTACTTACTTGGATTAAAAGATGAAACATGGCTTTGGCATAGAAGGTTTGGTCACGTAAACATGTACCTTATTTCAAAGATTTCAAAAAATTATTTTGTGAAAGGATTGCCAAATTTGAAATTTGAAAAAGACAAAATTTGTGATGCTTGACAACTTGGAAAGCAAGTTAAGAGCTCTTTTAAACCAAAAAT